TGGCAAAAATTTTGCTGACCCAACCATTAAAAAGTCAAAAATTTGATTACCCAACCTCAAATATCAAGTAAAAAATAAATACCCACCCCTGGCCAAAATTAAACTTTACACAAGGTTACCATTCAGTTGTCACATATGTCCTTTACCCGATTTCTGTGACAGGAGTTTGATAACTGCTTGTTTGCTACAGTCTAATCAGGTATCATGTTGTCTGCACATGTGCTTTCTTTCCAGGTGATCTCGTGTTCGTATTTTAGCCAATCAGCGCTCAGAAAGGGTTGTCCGAATAGAAATCCATTTTGATGTATTCAGTCAATTATATCTTTCGTTATTCTTTATGAAACTAATTGAAATTTTGTAATTATGTTTGGTTATGAGAACTCTAGCTCTGACAAAAATGTGGAATCGAAATACAGTATATTACAGGAGATATTCAGTTGTTTTAATCATAAAATGGATTTCTATTTGACAACTAGTGCCAGTACTTTTCCGCGTATCAAGATCATCTGGTTGGAGACACCATTTGTCTTCTAACAAATTGGAAAATGATCAAGACAATGACTGATTGATTCACATATTGTATTGACATATGACTATGTCTATAATTTTTTATTACCCAACCCTTGAGTTGTTTTGTTTTTCATTTACCCAACCTTTTACTTACCCAAAATTTAGTTTACCCAACCCTTTTCTCTTCGGTGCCACCCCCCGCCATAAATAATGACTGGTCCCTAACTCGCTATAGTTTAAAACAAAATTTTAATGCATTAACGGCCGAGTTTAGAGACAGTTTAAGACTCAACGATGAATTACCGTTCAGTTTTTCGTGCTACAACCATTCTGATAAGAGAAAAATCGTCCTCAAGTTGTTTGATTGCCCACCATTTGGATGAAAAGTCACATGATTGCAAACAAAGAATATAAATTTAATAGTTCGACGCATGGTAATACCGCCATGGATTGTAAAATAACTGGATAGGAAACTTCCTGACGTCATTGACTCATCCTTGTTGAAAAACGTGACGTCACGCGTAGTGCGAATATTGCCAAAGTTCTCGGTATTTTTGTTGTTTTGCTATATTTTCCACTTTAAAAGGGTGATATTGAAGCATAAACTGGTCTAATTAGTCGGTGGGGCCACCTGTGGTGCCCACCGACTCTAGGTTTGCCCTTTGGTACGCCACAAAATGAAAAATTACGTCATTTTAATTACGTAATTCTTACGAAATAAAAATCAAAATGGCGACCATGGAATAGAGTGCAAAAGTTCGCTATTGAATATTTGGTCCAGTAGCAGGGTTCGAATTAAATATTTAAAAGTGAATAGCGAATTTCTACCCATTGACTCGTGCAATAAAAAGTGAATAGCGAATTTCCACTATGTACAGTAAAAAAGGATTGAACATTCGATCTTCAACCAGAAAGGCTGTTATAATAATAAAGATTCAGCAGTTTTTATTTTTTGGTAGTTGTAAGATTATAAACAACACAGAAAAGGGAGAAAACGACGATGTAAAATTAAATCATTCCCATTTCCAATATCACCCCTAAAAATTTGCGCAATATCTAAAAGAGTTAATTAAAAGGCATTTTAATGAACAAAGTTAGAGTAAATTAAAGTACAAACAAAATACTGTACATATAAAAGTAAACATGGCAAAGCTCAGAAGCAAAACACGAAACTGGCATACATCGCATACTATACACATTATGAATTAAACTAGAAAGTTATTGAACATTTTGATTTGGGTTTTAAACCCAAGTGATTGTGAAATTCAAATCTGATTATAGTTGCGTGAACAAGTAGCATGACATTTGACCAGGGCCGCCGAGAGCTTGGCGGGGCCCGGGGCAAAAAATTTTTTAGGGGCCCCTAGTGCAAAAAAATTTCCCGGAAAAAAATTTTTCGGACAATAAATTCTTTTTAGGTGCGTTATAATTGCTTTCGTTGGACATTTCCGCAATTTTCCATACCAAATTTCGGTTCATTGCCCCCAAAACACAAATATTTTGGCCCAAAGACAGAAATATTTCGCCCGAAAAAATGACTGGGGCCCATTAAATTTCTAACATTAAATTTCTAGGGGCCCCAGAGCCTCGGGGCCCGGGGCAATTTGCCCCCCTGCCCCCCCCTCTCGGCGGCCCTGCATTTGACCATCCCTAGGTGGACTTTGACCAGGGCTCGAATTTTATCGCGGCAATTGCCGTAGAGGAGAACAAAATGCCGTGGATCATTGTGGCAACGACGGCAATTTTTTGCCGTATAGTGCAATTTTTATACTATTCACTGTGCATTACTACTTTGATACTTGAATTCAGATGTTGATCAAATCATGCGTAAATCACTATTTTAGTCTCAGTTTTCTTCGAAAAAAAAACCACTAAAGAAATACGTAGACATGTTTCTAGCTTGTCAAATATCCAAAGTAACAATAAAATTAAACTCTTATTACAGTAATTTGAAAAATGCCGTGGAAACTGCCAAAATTGCCGTAGACAGCTATACGTTCTACGGCAATTTTTAACGCCATTGCCGTCGATTGATTTCAGGGAAATTCGAGGCCTGACTTTGATACATTTTTATCATGTCAGCCTATCATATTAAAACATCAAATCAAAACACAGCTTGAGGCCATTAGGAAAACGCAACAGAATTCTATTGTCTATTCAGAAATATCCGCGCATGTGAGAGAATGTTTCGCCTCAAAATACAAAAAGAATTGTTTGAATTGTATCCGTTTTACTTTTTCGCATGTGAAATCTTCTCAGGTTGAATAGTGGGTTTTTTATGTTACTGTATAGCAAAATGAATAGCAAAATCCCCAAAACGGATAGCGAATCGCGATTCGCTATCTGTTAAATCGAACCCTGTCCAGTAGTGTCTTTTCTTTTGGGGTTTTTGAAAGAAATATATTAATAATTCACTAAAAGTTATCACGATGTTTCACTGTTATGTTATCGAGGAGGGAAGTAGATAATTTGTACATAATTTTATATATTTAAAGTTTGTATCGCGCGACGGAGCCGCGGAGATATCGGGCGCGCAGTTTTGATGCTTTCTATATGTTTACTATTGAATTTTCAAAATCTCCGGCGCGCAATTTCCAAACTTTCCAGTCAGTAATAATATTTGTGTCTTTTCGATCTACATAAATTAAACTTAAAGTCAGACATCGCCTGCTTCTTTCGAGTCTACGACTACATCCTATTCCTATTAAATATCGGAAGGACTGAAGGTTCATTGGGACAAAATGTATTACTACAAGATGAAAAGGAGGAACTCAATTTCCTGATATCGTGTGGAGGTAACTTGGAATATTTCTTGGCACAAAAACATATATTATTATTCCATGCAGTTCGCCGCCTTTACACTGCACGCTGAAAGGCAAGAATATTCTTCGCCTCGAAACTAGACGCATTATAACGTCTGTCTATTCTCTAATACATAAAGTATTTCGCATGATTACCAAGCGACTAGCTAATGACCTGTGTCTACAACCATGTATAGCAATAACGCTTTAGTCCTATCTACTAATCTACATACCAGCCTTCGATGCACTAACTAGCTAGCTATTAAAGTTCGGTTTTAACTTGGCCAGTTGGTAAAATAACACCAGCCGATCTGTGTAATGACAACAGGATAAACGCTTATAATTTTAACACATGCGATACACTATAGTGTATACAGTATATATACTAGTATATGACTATTAAAACAACATTGCTACATGGTTGTACTTGTTTACAACTCAGTTGTTTTAACTATTAGCACTAACTACCAGGCAAACTTCAAGAATCAATATTTTCGGAAAAACAAACACGTTCTTCTTTAATTAGTGCTATTCAGTTGTACTTAAAGTTGCATATTTCCGTCGCCCCAGCGACTAACGCTCCGTGGAGCGTCTTGTTGTTTTAAAAACATGCCTAAGCCACGACAAAGTATTCAAGGTAAATATTTTTCGTCTTTGTTTTGTATTTTTTTACATTTGTAGCTACGAAATTGGCGTCACAAATTTTAACGAAATTTGCGATGTATTTTTCACTGTTTAGTGCTTGAAATATTTGCTAAAATTGACTGGGAATACTTTCGAAGAGTTTTCATCGTAGAATGGCGTGGTTATATTTATTTGCTGTTTGACTAAAATGTATAGCTGTATTATTGCTAAACATGCCGTTTTTGAGAATTTGGTTTGCAACTAGGTTTGAACATCCAACCACGCCATCAGCCCATTGAAAACATTAGGTCACGTCAGCTAGTTTCCTATCATTTATTTTATTATCCATGATACCACGAAGCCGAGTAACTATGAAAATAGTATACACAGAGTAGACCATTAGAAATTAACCTATTGTTCTAATTTGATTTTATAGTATATATTAGCCACAAGCCCACAGTATATTATGTATATACAAAATTGCGGATAGACTCATAGGCGAGGATATAGTATTCCAAGAGTTTTTTAAATAGTACGTTCTGATCAGTTTAGCCTGCCGTAGCGGCTCTCAAAAAGGAGAGCCTGCACGAAACCCCATGCCGTGCCGTTTTTACTCGTTCTCCCAGAGAACGAGAAATCTGATTGGTTCAAAATGAAAAATATGCTAATTTGTGCTAAAATAATCGTTGATTATTCAAAAACTTTATTTAACCACGGTAAAAAACTCATCAGGAGTACAAACAATTACAAATATACAAAAAAATTACAACAAATAAAATAACCTGCTTTCCATGAATGCCATGGAGACAAAACTTTATACACTTTCCCATTACGTTGGCTGAACTATTGCAAAAGGAAGTAGATTATTTGTGCTAGTATAATATGATCGATATCTTGGTTTGTGTGTGTGTTTTTGTTGTTTTTTTTTATGCAATTTCCATTTCCAAAATGTCCACCTATTGCTTTTTTTCGACACAAAATGATAATGTCTGTCAGATTTTAGCCGGACCGCCTTTTTTCGTCCCATACAGCTTGTAACGTCGTATTAAATATTTACATTCAGGAATGGATGCGAGCATTAATGGACGAGCAAACGAAGTTGAAGTTCCTTTAGCATTGGATCATTCCTGGGAGACTCAACATTTTATAGGTATGTTTAATATAATTCATGAGGAAATTAGTATAACATATTGCTTTATTTTTGTCACATGCTGATACTGGACACCTACCGATCAGGAGCAAAAATTATTGAGACAACCGCATAAATGCCCCCCCCCCTCACCCCCAATTCAATGTTGTGTGAATGACTGAAAAGAGAAAATTCAACCCACTTTTTCCAACATTGATCATGGTGGCAGGGAGGAGGGGAGGCCGACGTACTTTAAAATGGCCAAAAATGTGAAAAGTCTAATTATTTTTGCACATATATATATATATATATATATATATATATATATATATATATATATATATATATATATATATATATATATATATATATATATATATATATATATATATACATATATATATAGTGGAAACTCGTGCGCCAGAAAGATGTCCCATCTTTTGCTAGCAGGTTATGAAGATGTCCCATCTTTTCTTAACCAGTGGAAGCTTAAAAAAGTCCTATATTATAAAAAGTCCTTAAAAAAGTCCTATAAAGTCCTATCACGCTAAGTTATAGAGTAAAGCGGTGCATGGAGCTATAGGGCTATAGTTTTTTGAATAATATCTAGAATACTTTTAGTGAAAACTCTTGTGTCAGAAAGATGTCCCATCTTTTGCTGACAGATTATGAAGATGCCCCATCTTTTCTTAACCAGTGGAAGCTTAAAAGGAGTCTTATATTATTCTTTACATCACGCTAAGTTAGGGTATAAGCGGTGCAGCTATAGTGCTATAGTTTTTTTAATAATATCTAGAATACTTTTAGTGAAAACTCTTGTGACAGAAAGATGTCCCATCTTTTGCGGACAGGTTATGAAGATGTCCCATCTTTTCTTAACCAGTGGAAGCTTAAAAGGAGTCTTATATTATTCTTTACATCACGCTAAGTTAGGGTATAAGCGGTGCAGCTATAGTGCTATAGATTTTTAATAATATCTAGAATACTTTTAGTGAAAACTCTTGTGACAGAAAGATGTCCCATCTTTTGCTGACAGGTTATGAAGATGTCCCATCTTTTCTTAACCAGTGGAAGCTTAAAAGGAGTCTTATATTATTCTTTACATCACGCTAAGTTAGGGTGTAAGCGGTGCAGCTAATGCTATATTTTTTTTTAATAATATCTAGAATACTTTTAGTGAAAACTCTTGTGTCTGAAAGATGTCCCATCTTTTGCTGATAGGTTATGAAGATGTCCCATCTTTTCTTAACCAGTGGAAGCTTAAAAGGAGTCTTATATTATTTATTACCCGACAACGCAGGCGCGGGCGTAAATTCCGTAAAATAGCTAAGACAATGGTGTCAATGCAGCTATTGTTTTTTGAATAATATGTTGATATATATCTTGGTGAAAACGGTAAAAACATTTGTTCCAGATTCATTTGCGCACTAGGGCCTTGGAAAAGACGGTATAAGTGTATAAGCCATTGAAGCCGCCGCACTTTTTATACTGCCAAGATCTATAAAGACGGCAAATAGGTTTCGACGTTTCGATATGGAATTATCATGCCATACTTTGGACGTAAACAAAATCTAGGTTGAATATTATTCACGCTATTCGATCTCTAAGATATCAAGAACGTTTTGTTTTACAACTCGTGCTCGAGTATTATTACACGCAGCCTTATTTCACATTATACGCTATAGTATAGCCTGACCATAGGTGACTTGTCAACAGTCAGCATCGTAAATATCATCCTGACATATTTGTACACTTTTATTTTAATGCATAACAGAAAATTAACTTATTACTTGCTTGGTTTCACACTGCGTTTAAGCAACTGAACCTGGATTGATGACATCTTATAGCGGTAATTAATAATGCGATTAGCCTTGCTCGTTTCCTGAAGTTGCAAACTCAGTTTGCAGATCCCGCTGTTTTTCAAAACGTGCGGGTCGTCATGATCAGGAGCAAAAAGTATTGAGACAACCGCATAAATGCCCCCCCCCCTCACCCCCAATTCAATGTTGTGTGAATGACTGAAAAGAGAAAATTCAACCCACTTTTTCCAACATTGATCATGGTGGCAGGGAGGAGGGGAGGCCGACGTACTTTAAAATGGCCAAAAATGTGAAAAGTGCAATTATTTTTGCACGCGATTGTAGTGATGAACAAGGTCGTAAATCCTGGTGGGACGGGGCGATCCCCCTCCACCCCGTTCCCACTTTCTCGACATTCGTAAAAATCCACAATAAGTTACGTCTGTTGGCCTCCTCCGCACCACCCACTTTTTGGAAGTGGATTTCCGCCCTTGCTAGTGAAGTGTATTGACTTTGTATCCATTCCTCATTTTCAGTGAATTTGATATTAATAGTACAAGACAATAAGGCCGAACACGTATACATGAGCCTTTAGTATTCAGTAGAAAGTGAATTATTATATGCAATTTTAGCTCAATAAGGATAAAAGAGTACAAGCTATGGTAAATTGATCCTTTCTATTTAGTAATAATAATATAATATTATTTCTTAACCGCGATCATTGCTTATAAAAATTACCAACGAGAACCTATATACTTGCTTGATCTCTGATCCTTTTTATAATAAATCTTGTGTAGTAAAACACAAGATTTATTATATCGAGCTTTATTGATCTAATGGCTAGAAGTATTGTACGAAGCGCGACTATCAATATTTCTATCAGAGTAATCAGATATATAAACCGCTCCCACCTCAGCATTTGGAGATTTTGCAAACTGCATGGCGTTTGCGCTAATAGTCAACTAAAACCCAAGATACCAAACATAGACGACGAAATACTCATATTAAATTTTAAAGCGAATTCGTGTCACTATACTGTCATTTTATATTTGCTTACGATATCGCAATATTTCACAGCAAACATGTAATTAGCTATGTGTATTGTAGATGGAAATTTGTATTCATTTATTAGACCTAACCAGGAACAGCTGTGAAAAATGCAACTTTAATTAGGTCCCTGGCAGGAATTGAATATTCGGCCCTGCGATTCCCGCGGTGCAACGCTCTACCCAACTGAGCTATACAGAGGCCAGTTGTCGAGCTTTAACCACAATAGTTCATGTACATATACTAGGGTACTGCCACGTGTAGGTTATGGGTATGAACTTGTAGTTAGAGCTCGGCAACTGGCTCTGTATAGATCAAAATCTACTGATCTGTGCTAAGTTAAAACAGTGCACAAACTGGCCACGGGTAATACGGCCAAGTACTAGTTCAGTGTAATATTCCTCAAATATGCATGACGATAGTAACTTCGACTGAGTCAATTTTCCTGATGATTTTGGTTGGAAGTTTCAGTGGCAAAACTTTCAGTTGAAACATTTAGTGGAAAAAAAAAATAGCTGTAAAACTCTTTGGGTGTGCGGCCATCTTCTTTGGATCCACTATATATGGATCCACTATACATACTACTACTCTTTTTAATTCGATACGATACTTCCTCGATATTTTCCATATGTTTTCGATATCGATACCGATATCGATATTTTCCCAACTCGAACAACCATAACAACAAAACTGAAGACTATTTTTAATCATTGATATAATGATAACGGCAACAACGCTAAGTAAACAATATAAACATTAAATAATATGTGTCAGTGATTGCAACCAACATAACCAGAAACTCCGATCCTGCCCGTGGACCATTATAGCACCACATAAAATGAACTACTTAGTATTTACGCCTATTTAGGCTTTTTGGTATCGTTTTCATGATGACGCCGCTGACCAAAATGAAATATATCGCAGGCTCAGAAGTATCGAAACAATCGATCGATATCTGTTGCCATTTCACTAGTATCGAGTATTTGGTATCGGTATCGGCCCATCCCTAATTAATATGTTCCCTTAATAGTAGCGGTAGTATAGTAGTGAAAATGAAATCTAAACCTCACTAATAATAGACAACTTGCATGTTAGACTAATTTTTGATTTAGGCAAAAAAGTAAATTCCCGTAAAGAACTTATTAAAATCAGTAAAATTGCAAAATTTGGTTACGAAATGTTGTAAAATACAGAAAATATAGCCTTGTGAAGTTTGCATATTTTCAGTATGTTTGTATTACGTGCGGAAATTGTTACCATTTTTGAGCCGAAAATGGTAACAATTTCCTCACGTAATACAAATATACTGAAAATATGCAAACTTCGCAAGGCTATATTTTCTGCATTTTACAACATTTTGCAACCAAATTTTGCAATTTTACTTATTTTGATTATGTTCTTTTTAGCTGTGGTGTTTTATTCCCTTCTCTCTACTTAGATTAAAATTTAGTCTAACATGCAAGTTGTCCATTAATCCGACATATATTTTATTTTGTAAAGGTAATTCTGTTTTCCTTCCCGTACGCCTATATGCGTACCCTGCATGGTTCCAGGGGTTCTTGTGCCGCCGTATTATAAATTACGAATAAAAACTTTCTCAATTTTAAGTTCTTTGAATACCTGCTGAAACTTTCCTTTTTTGGCACCAATGCCTATTGCATATTGTTATTGTAAAAAAAGTAAAATAACAACATGCAAATTAGGTAAATGCATGAATTAAGTATGCGTGATAGACATTGATGACAAAAATAATTAAAGTTTCAGCAACAATTTAAAGGACTGAAAACTGAGTAAATTTTCTGATATTTGGACCATTGATAAAACACATAACAACTTGCTCGCCCATGAACTCAAAATGCGTTTTAAACTTTTAAATTTCACGCGCAAACTATTTTTAATGCTGCTAAAAAGACACCTGCTCTGCAAAGTTTATCTTTAAGGAAATATTTTATTCATTCTATTCCCAAACAATCTATATTTATCAAAAATATTCATGAAATGAACGGATTTGTGAAATTGAGAGCCGTTTCAAAATTGTCCACTTTTTTATACATCCTGTATATATAATCACCAATCTATAGTAGGCCTATCAGAATTTTGCGACACTTTCAAACCAGTCTCAAAGCTCAGAGCTTATTAATGTTATTATATGTTCAGTATTTTGCAGTTATATTGGCGGGCAAATAAAAATTACGTTTATTGTTTTTCAATAGAAATGAATGGCAACCTTGAACTAGAAGAAGAATCGAATCATGATTTAGTTTCGCGTCTTGAAAAACCACTCCGTGTGAAAAGGGAAGATTTATCTTCACTAAATGACAATGGCAATGGTAGGAAAATGGTCAATTTATAATAATAACTAAGAATATTGATGTTAAATTATATATTTATTTGAATTAGTTACTATTGTAACTATTAAGCAAACTAGCTGTAAGTAAACGTTGACTCATGCAGAGTATGATATATCAGTAAAGTCGGTGATTTATATTTCAAAACGCGTATATATATATTTCAAAATGCACTGATGTACATTAATAACTATAACAATTCTACAATGAGCTCAAGCCATACATGAGTTGGTAACGAAATATCAAATTATTCCAGTACATTTAGAAAAAAATAGACAATAGTATTTTAGAAAATGGAAAATGTACTCTCGCTTTAGCAAGTGTTAATTAGAACGTGTTTTTATGGTTCGCTTTATGTCGAATGTGACGAATAACGAACGCTTGTTGTTTTAGAAACAACAGCAAAACTCATTACCCACTTCATTTCCCACGCCATTTTAACTTATCTGAATATAGTAAATGTCCATTTTATAGCAGGTTTTTCACTTTTTAGGTGACAGCAAATGCACCCGAAAGGTTGATCTTGGGTTTCTTTTAGACAGTTCTGGCAGTGTTGGAGCAATTAATTTCGATAAAATGAAATCGTTTGTAAAAAATTATACCGGCTATTTCAAGATTTCACCAAACTACACAAGAGTGTCTGTGATAAAATATCAATCAGGGATACAGGTCCAATTTCTGTTTTCGAAACTATTTGTTTCGCAACAAGACTTAAATTCAGCAATAGATAACATTCTCTATGCTGGAGGTGGCACTAATACAGGTGGAGCATTGTCCAAGGCGTATACAGATATGTTCAATGTCAGTTATGGTGCCCGATCCTCAGGTTGGTTAAAACTGTATGCTAATTATTTTTCCCGTCGATATTTTTTTAAAGTCTTTTCTCCATCAATTCTTTTCGATAGTTCTTTTGGCTTTTCTTTCATAATTTCTTTCTTGTTTTTCTCTCTGTTTTAAACTTAAATTTTACCGGTGCATGAGACAAGCATCTGACTCATTTAGAGAACATTATGATAGGTTATTTAAACGAGCTATATATATAGATCACGTCTGTATCTACCTGCAAGAACATTCCGCTTCTTGGCCAACAATTTCCGGTTTAGCGTTAGCAAGAAAAAATATTTAAATAGGCTTTGACAGCATTTTTTGACTATCAATTTTTGACGATCCGAGTTTTGACGATCAATCTTTTGTATTCCCTTTTTAACGGCAGTAATAATTAATTCATTTATCGACATGTTTTTCGTTGAAAACACACAAAAAACACTTTTCGTGGAAGGGTATCACAACATTTGCCCAAGTGCTTGTTGCCCATTTGGAGAAAGGTATAATATTGCGAGTTCTGTCTGAAAACTTCCAATTCTGTAAAATGTCTTAACCACTCAATTTCGATGCAAAATTGCGAGTTTTTGGCTATTTTTGATCGCAGAGGTAGCATTCGAGAGCTAAAAGCCTGATCTTTTATTGGTATGAACGTAATGTATAATTCACGATAACATGCCAAAGTTGGATCACCTTTTTTTATACACCCTGCATGATAACATTGATGGTGCACAAGTGTTGATTGGCCGAGAAGCGTGATTCTACAACTGTATCGGGAAACACGGGAAATTTTCGTCTTGCAGCTTTTGTTTTTTAAAACGCATAGAAACCAATTTTGACACGCGCTACAATCAACAAGTGTGATCAATACTAATTTTGGCAATGAAATTAAGCAACCACAGAATAAAAAGCTAATTATCAGTTTAACTTAAATACAGGATAACTTGCCAATGAATATTTTGTGGGGTGAAATTCATGAAATTCAAAGGGCAAACTCCACTGGATTTTATGCTTATGTAATACGAATATGTAATTTAATCGATATAGAAAAATAGATACTGAAAACATTTCTTGGGTTGTATTGTAAAATAAATCGAACACATTTTCCGTGTGTTTCTGAACAGTTATAGAAACACTTGTGGGAGTTTTGGAGAACGTGATTGATGATTTCCCCTTCTCTCCACGTATAGAAACATGGAAAATGTTTTCTTGTAATGCAAATTGCTTATAATGGTCATACCCATATGACCATATGCAGTTGTGTGCCGAGAGTATTAAAGGGAAAGTTCGCTCATACAGTTCGCTCTTCGCTTTTTTAACTTCTATAAGTTTTTTTTTAATATAAATTGGGCAATTTAGGAGGCAAGTGGAAAACGCGAAAACAATGTACATGTTTTATGTTTACGACAAAATACAAAACAAACTTGCTTTATATTTCATCATTTCCCATCTTATATCTCTTCTTGTCATTTCTTTAAAGTAAAACCAGTTAGAAATTCGCTTGTCAACGACTTTTCCATGTGTTTTCTTTCTTTTCAATTATTAATGAATGAAGTACGTTGAGTATGATAAGAATTATCAAGCCCCAGTGGCGTAACACAACCTCCGGAGGCCCCCCTCAAATTTTTAAGTGGGGGCCCTATTTTCGAATCAAATTCATTGAAAAAAGGGGTTTAAAAAAATTTAACAATTAAAAAAATAATCACAAAAAGTTTTCCCCATCAATGTCTACTAAAAAAGGAGTCCAAATTTCACTAATTCATGCTTTTCGGGGCCACCCATTACAAATTTTCGGGCCTTCTATAACTGTGGCTCGGCGCAATTTGCCCAATGTACTAGCAAAAATGTTAGGGTCATTTTTGCCGGGGAACCCCCAGGCTGTCAGGCATGGGTGCCCCCCCGTCTCTGGACACCCGGACACCCTCCAGTTATATCAAACGAAGGCTGATCGAGGTTGATAACACAAACTGAGGGCTTGGTAATTCTTCATATCTTGCGAAAACCGAATTCAATAGTGGTTTTATTATTTATTTAAAACATGAAAAAGACATCCGCTCCTGTGGGTTCAATTATTCGAAATAATGACCAGTTCTTTTTCCCATTTTCAGAAAATCTTTCCTTTTTCTTTCATAAGCTCTTAACATGTTTCAAAACCTTTCGCGGCTGTTTTCCCTGATATTTCGTCTTTGTATTTAAAAAGCGTTTTCTTTAAACCTGAAAATGGCGCCACATTGTTTAGGTCGTGTTTCCACATTTTAAATTTGTGTTTCCACAGAGTGGCCATTCTTTTCATATTCAACGTTATGGCGTCAGTCCGTTGAATATTATGTCAAAACTTCACATTTGGTCAGCTATTGAGTTCATATGACGACTTTACAGTGAGCTATTAGCCAATCAGAAACCAGGAACCTTTTAAGTAAATAATAATTGTTAATTATAAATAATATTTAATATTTTGTACGACCTATTTTGTCCGATACCGCAATAGTCATTCATTATACCATTTCCGTCTCCACTGGCAAAACGCTCTATTGAAGAAAACAACATTTCTGCCTTTTGATAAACATTCAATATGTTTTGCATTAATTTTTGCCTATATGACATATGTTCTGAATAAAAATGTGTACAAAACAAATTGGGGTGACTGCATGCGTGCTCTTTTTCTAACTACTCAAATCTGAATAGGCCTATTTTACAATGAATTGTGTGCGCATGGTTCAGCAATGGACTTGTATTACTAAACTTATATTTATATTACTAAAACTAACATAATTTAAATTAATGAAGAAACTCTAAAATCTATGAACATCTCACCTGCTGCATATATAATACCTAAATATACGAAGTTTAAAAATGTCACACTGTTATACCAACCTGATTGCAATTTATTAATGAATTGTAAAATGTATACGTATTTATAATTATGTCTAAACTTTTTAGATGCAATAAAACTCTTAATACTACTCACTGATGGCGAAAGCTTTTCTCCGGTCGATGAACCAGCAGAGCGACTAAAGGACATTGGTGTTCGTATATTCTCTGTTGGAATTAGTTCCGATCGATTGTCAATCCCACAGTTGAGACAAATGGCGTCCTCACCAGTCGACGATCATCTTTTCTTGTTGAAAGATTTCACTGACTTTTCAAATTTGGCAGAGAATATGACATCCACTACATGCAAAGGTATGGTATAAAGTCGTTTGACTCGTTTCAATTTTAATTACATGTATGTTGACCAATAAATTTATTAAGTCTGGCTGGAATATTATTAGACGTCCTTCATGCATAGATAGATATATAGATAGACAGATAGATAGATAGATAGATAGATAGATAGATAGATAGATAGATAGATAGATAGATAGATAGATAGATAGATAGATAGATTGATTGATTGATTGAAATTTTTATTTAACCACGGTGGTTTTATCAATTGTAGATATGACATATTTACATTTGTTCTTCTTTTTTTTTTTTCTTTTTTTTTTTCCGAAGTCAGTATACTTTATTCATTTCTCATAACACATTTACATCAAATGAATTGATACTGGAAGGACCAGATAAACCCTTGTGGGCTTTTACAAGTCAGTCCTCCTACAATAAAATTAGCTAAAATACAGTTGATTTGGTATCATTGATAAGATTATATTCATATAGTAATTTTGATTTAATGATTTAACTAGCAATATATATATATATACATAAATACTTCACTTATATATAGATATGTATGAATGCATATGCAATCATGTATACACATTGCATGCACATCTATAACAATAGATAATCTTTCATATCTTTTTTAAACTTAATTTTTGTTCTCGCTTCTTTTATATCAGATGGAATTTTGTTCCATAAACTACTTCCTTTAATCTTAATCGTGAATTTTCCATAATTAGTTCGGTATCTTTCCTTATGTATATAATGTGAGTTTCTCGTTCTGTAATTGTGTACGTTTTTGTTTAGAGTAAAGAAATTTTTAAAATTTTCAGGCAAGGAATTATTATAAAATTCAAACATAAATTGTCCAATGCATAAATCGTTGATCTGATGAAGGTTTAGCAATTTCAATTTTTTAAACAATGGGGCAGAGTTTGCATCATACGAAGAATGTGTGATTATTCTAATTACTTTTTTTTGGAGTTTACATACTTTATCTAATCTTGTTGGATAATTATTTGCCCATACAATATTTCCATAATATAGGTATGGATAAATTAATGTATTATATAAAGTTCTTAGTATGTTGGAATTTAAGAAATAACGCGCTTTGCAAATTATTCCTATTGACTTTGATATTTTATTTGCAATGTAATTAATGTGTTGATTCCAATTTAAATGTTCGTCTATGATTACTCCTAAAAATTTTGTTTCCTTAACTTGAGTTAACTGACAATTATTAAGAAATATTTTAAATGGGTTTAATATTTTTTTCTTTGTCGATTTAAAAACTATATAATTTGGTTTTTTTTATATTCAACGTAAGCTGATTGTCAATTAACCATTGACTTATTTTCTGCATGCGGGTAGGTTTTTTTATTGTCGGAATTAGCGATGACGAAAACATCTGATTTACAAATCTATTTGAGTAGTCACAATTGCCATATTTAAGCAAGTCGATGTTAAAATCTCCCATAATATAGCATTCTTTATGTTCTGCCGTGATTTTGCTAAGCATAGCCTTAAGTTTATTTTCATAATCATTATATCTATCATTTGGAGGTCTATAAATGACCCCCACAATTTTATTTTTACCTTTAATGTTTTCAATTTCTATAAAAATACTTTCAATATTTTCACTTAAATGTTCCTTATTTATGTCATCTCTTATTTTAATTTTTAGACATTCTTTAATATAAATGCAAACTCCACCTCCAATTTTCGCTTTGCGATTGAATTCGTAAATCTTATAGCCTGGTATATTAAAATCAGAGACGTTACATGATTCATCTAGCCATGTTTCAGCAATAGCTATTACGTCAAATGAGAAATTCAGTAAGTTTAGGTAATTTGTCAATTTTTCGAATTTATTACGTAAACTTCGAATGTTTAGACTTAAAACTGAAAATGAGTTTTCCTTTACTATATTACTTGTTTTAATCAGATCAATAAAATCATTAGTTAAATAGTATTTAGATTCATTATTCTTATTGTCATTGCTGTAATACATATCTGGGTTCAATCTGTCAGTAAATTCATTATGCAAAGTAGTTCTTGAGTTGTTCATATTAAAGGGATTAAATACTAAATTTTCTAGTCTGTCTTTATCCTTTTCTGTTAAATTGGTTGCTAGATTATTAACTGCGTCATTAAAATCTTGAGTATTTAGGTGATTAAAAGGAATTTCTCGAATGCACGTTGCGCAAATAGAGTTGTTTCCGGCTCTATAATTCTTCAAATTATTTCTATCAATACCTAGACAATGCGACTTGATATGATAATTCTTACTACACATCGAACATTCGAAATAATTATCTTTTATGATAATGCGACTACATGTGTCACAATTTTTCTGTACTTTCATTGCATTCATAGCCATTTGCATAATCTTATTTCTGCATGCTTATTTAATAATCACGATTATAATCATAAAGTTTATACCTATAAAACTATACTTATCTTCCATAAATTTGTCCATTGATAAACAGTTTATCTTTGACTAAAAATGCCTTATGTCCCTTAGATCTTGCATCCTTGAACACCGGGTAGAGCTTCTTTCTTTCTTCTTGGATCTCTTTGGGAAATTGGTCACTGATTCCAACACCGATATCTTTAAACTTGTATGCATTCCGCTTAATCATCTCTTTGTCCTGGAATCTCAAGAATTTTACAACAATTGGTCTCGGTTTCGTTCCATTTCTATTTCTGCCAAGCCGATGAGCCCGTTCAATCTCAATTTTTTCTGTTTCACTATCAAGTTCCTTGTCCCTCAATAGACTTTTAATTTTGTTTTCAACCTCTTCCTTCTCATTTGGTGTATTTTCTTCTCTAATATTGTAAAATATCAGATTACTTCTCATGGAATGCGCTCTCATATCAATAATTTCCCTTCCAATTTTGCCTTCTCTTCTTCGATCCTTCCGACCTTTTCCTCTATTACTTTTAATTTATTTTCTTGTACTGCTTGTACAGATTGTACTTCGGCCACCACCTCCTGTTGATAAGTCAGCGAGTGTTTTAGATCCTTGATGTCCGTGTCAATGCTGTTGAGTCGTGTCTCGATTAGGTCAAGCTTATCGAGTTTATTCAATTTTTCACTCATTTCACCGATTATTTTCACAATTTCACTTTCGTTTAGGTTTTCCATCTTCTGTTGTTTACTTTTTGGTTTAATTGGAGTACTAGTTAAAGAATTATTTAACTCTTTCACGGAGCGTTTTTGTTTTGATCCCATCACTGATACCTGATATGCTTATATCTTCCTAAAAGCCGTGTATCTTAATATTTCAATATAAAACTATACAGAAAACATATTCTAGTTGGCACAGAATATAGTCGAATCTAACATTTTTACAAATATTTTAAGTGATGGTGCGTCTTTTATCTCATCCGGAAGAGAATTCCATAATTTAGCACCAGTGAAGGCAAAACTTGAATTGTAATACAGTGTTCGACTTTTTGGAAGTTCGAAGGTTATTTTAGACCTTCTGAGATTATATATATCCAAAGCATGACAATGTTTAAATATGTCTATTAAATAAGATGGTAATGCCCATTTACTATTCTATACATCATCATAGCCTTTTGTTTATACCTCATTTCCTGGATATTCATCCAGCCAAGTTCTTTTAAGAGTTTTGAGGATGATGTTGAGAAATGTGCCCCAGTTATCACACAGGCAGCTCTATTTTGTAAAATTTGTAGAGACTTGTCTAATGTTTGACCAAGGCTGTCCCAAACTATAGAGCAATAAATGAAATATGGTTCAATTATTGCCCGATGGGGTGATACTAGGTTTTTTGTGTTAAAATGGGCTTTAATCGCCTCAAAGTAGCAATATTACGGGATACTTTTAAGCGAATACTCTCCACATGGTTTTCCCAAGTTAAGTTTTCGTCTATGTTTACTCCTAAGGATTTCACCGAACGAACTTGGCTTAATGAAACACCGTTTACTGACAATGTTATTGAGTCTCCCAAGGCCGCTAGCTTTTGTCGAGAAGCAATAACCATGAAATCGGTCTTTAAAATATTCAGTGTCAACTTGTTTGCACAAAGCCATGCACTTGAATATTTTATTAAGCTCAATCTGCATTTTATTTTCGACCGATTCCAAATTGCAACCTGTGGAAGTCATATTTGTATCGTCAGCAAATAGCGTGGCAATTCCATGTTCCAAACAACTGGGTAGGTCATTTATATATAGCAAAAATAAGACCGGACCCAAAATGGAACCTTGTGGAACCCCGCAGGAAATGGTTTCTTAATTTGAATATATGTATTTACATGACAAACTTGTACCCTATTTGTCAAGTAGGATTCAACTCATTCCAAACTACACTCTTTCAAACCATAACATGCAAGTTTCATTTGCAAAATTTCATGATCAATGGTGTCAAAAGCCTTCTTTAGATCAAGAAAAATCACACCGTTTAACATCCCTTTATCAATATTAAAACACCATTGATTTGTCATATCCAGTAAGGCTGTCATGGTAGAGTGAAGTGAACGGAATCCAGATTGACTGGTACTGATTAGTCTATGTTTAGATAAATAAGCATACATTTGGTTATACACAAGGCGCTCAAAGAGACGTGCAATTGAAGAATAACACCGAAATAGGCCTATAATTATTTGCATTATCCCTTTCCTCTGTTTTATGTAATGGAAAGACTTTTGCAATTTTCTACCTTGTCGGAAATTTATTTGTTGTAAGAGAAAGATTAAACAAATTTGTTAAAGCTTCATAAATATAAGGACCAGATATTTTTAATAATGTATTTGATATTTTATCACAGTCCGAAGCTTTACGCAAATTTAATTTGTTTATTAATTTAAAGACGTCTTTAGAATCTATCTTTTGAAATTCAAATGATGATTCAACCTGGGTCATGTAATCCTTAGCTGTTGCTACCTTGCCTAAAAGGGGAACATTGGAGGCCAATTTCGGACCAATTCCAACGAAATGTTTATTATAAGCGAATTTGCAATGTCAAATGACTCGGTTAAGATTTCTCCTGAGTCAGATGAAAGCGTGTTTATTTCGATGTTATCCGATTTCTTTCCCAACGCATTATTTAAAATTTTCCATGTTTCTTTAACATTATTTACATTTCTGTCGAGTTCGTCTTGAAAATATGCCTTTTCTGATCTTATTATTTACAAAATTTCTTTGCTGCTTATAAGCAGACAAAGATTCAGAATTATTGGATGAAATAGCCTTTTTCTTCAGTTTATCTCTATTTATCATTAAATATTTGAGTTCTGAATTAAGCCAAGGACTAGGTTTATTACGAACTCTGAAACTACGTACAGGCGCGTGTTTTTCAATCACTTCACTAAAAACAGATGGCATGTATCGCATGCATCATTGACATCATCAAACTCATAGTTATAGGCCAATGAACAAGGGCAAATAATGTTAGCCAATCAGCGCGTTTGTTTACATTTTGCGTTCTTGACCAATCAGAATGCCTGAAATTCGAAACATGTAAACAAAAGGAGTGAGAAAATAACACCTTGTTCTACGCCCTCGGTGACATTCGATATTAAACATTTTTCGCCAAAACTGACAAATTCTGCTAAAGCATGCTTTCTTCTTTAATTTCCTCGGGGGGATTTTTAAAATTCGATCTAGAACGTGAAATATTTATGTTTGAATAACAGTGTTTCGACGCGCGTAAAATAGCAGACTCTCACTTGCACTATCTTTACACACACATGAAAAATTGGTAGATTTGGCAGTTTAAACTTATTTTCCCCACACCACAACTGACATGTTTTTAAATATTACCTATCTGATCTCATCGATCTCATTTCGCATCGGAAATTCGTCACAACGATCCAGGACTGACAGGTACAATATCGCATGACTCATTACTGTACATTAAAAGTACCCGGTTGGCGAAATGGCGATTGTCTGACCACAGTTAATAGCTGACAGACCTTCGCAAAGGGCTTAATATTTTTGCTAATAAACTGTTCACGAGGGTTTCGTTCTGTTCGTCTTCTGGTTCGTCGTCAATCGTCATCGGCTGCCTCACTTCTTGGTCGCTTTCGTCCTCTTCAAAGCAAGTCGCCGGAGCAAACAGCGTTGGTATTTGCTGTCTTTCCAAGAGCTTCAACGTTGCTTTACAAACTGGGCTATCGCTGATGTTGGGCAGGATGCATTTGATGTGGAACGAAGGTCCACAACCACGGAAAACGTTCCAAGTGGACTAACCTTTTTGCAGGCAGGCAAATCGCAAATCGATGGAAATTTTAAAGGAAGATTTATATTTTATATTTACAGATCTTGATACATTTATAGTCAGTACGTCCTTGGAAATTGTTCCAACATATGAGTGTGTACCAAAGTTAAAATATTACTTATAATCTCTAGAACATGTTTGAATGTTTTGAATCACTGCAGTTTAGAATTAGCAGTCCTTTAACTCTTTTAAAGACAACAGAACTGGCAGCCATGGCACCCCATAACTATTTAGTGTACAATACTAGTCAATGTAATTAATTACTACCTCCCCCAACCCAGAAGTAGGCAGTTTTTAATTCTCAGCACTGTCACTATCTGTAAATATCTGTGTGTAAATATCTGGTTTTGTCTCAGTGACCCTGTTTTGCCCCACACTTTGGGATTTGAGCAGGCAGGGATTTATATTGTCTGGTATTGGTACATAGCTTACCATAATCACAGGATATTATTGAAAGATTTCCCTGCCAATTCACTGCCTTAAAAGCATTATATTATTTGCTCAGTGTGTGTGTGTTACTTTAAGTGTACTCTGGTCCCAGAGGCTCTTTGCGAGGCGAAAGAAACAAGATGCGAGAACGGAGAGCCTCTGGTCACATCAGGGCCGTATCACCAGGGGGCAGTAGGGCTTATATGTTGAAAAAAGTTCCAAATATCCAAAGAATAATTAATAATGACATTCTAAAAATTGTAAATATAGTTTTCTTTAGGAGGGCAGTTTCCTCCTCCTGCCGCCCCCTCCCCTGTGCTGTGTACAGCCCAGGGTCACTGTCCATTGCGAATCCCACTTCCACACTTGATTAGGTTCAGCATTTGAATTTCGCATGTGATTGCCCATTTGTAAAAATATGCCAAACTGGCTTGGGAAATAAACATTGCTGTAAGCTAATTATAGCCTGTATTAAAATATTCTATTAAACTCAACCAAGAATGTATTACATGTCCTGCAAAACTGATTAATGTTGATATGTTTATCTCCTGAGAAATTTAATACCTTTTCACCTGCAGGAGTATTAATATTCATGCTTGGTTTCTCAATGCGACTCAAACCCAGTCCTCATGTGAAAAGAATAAACCGCAACGCTCTGCCAAACGTCACAGGTTTTCCCCGGGTACTCCAGTTTGACAGGGTGGGTTGGGTAAAAAGGGCTCACAGTAATTGGCATATGCTGTTGTGGTGACCCGGCCCTATTTGGCATGCTAAATAGATACTATTAGATAGCTATAATTAGCTCACAGTAGTGTTTATTTCCCAAACAGGTTTGACATATTTTTACAAATGGTCAATCACATACGAGATTCAAATTCTGAACCTATTCAAGTGTGGAAGTGGGATTTGCAATTGATATGATCAGAGGTTTTCCATTCTCACCTCTTGTTTCTTTTACCTTGCAAAGAACCAGGGTACACTTAAAAGTAACACACAGGCAGACCAAGTGCTGCAATTCAACTAATTAAGGGCCTGTTTATATGCAGGAAGCCGGGCTGGCCTGCTTAGCGAGACAGGCAGGTGGGATGAATTTCTCTTGTGTTTATATGAGAAAATTTCATCCCGCTTGCTGGTTTTGACAGTTGTTAAAAATAGCTTGCGGCGGTATCTTTCATCCCAGCAACTGGGCTAGCCCGCTTGTGAGTGTTTATATGGAGAAATTTCCACCCCGGTAAGCGAGATCTCACCTCTTTTCAAGTGAGATCTCACCTCTTTTCAAGTGAGATCTCGGCAACCTGGCCAGCCCACTTGTCCATATAAACACACAATAATTTTTACTATAAAAATAACTACACAGCGAGATCTCGCATACCGGGCTCTCCCACTTAGCGGGCCAGCCCGGCTTCCATATAAACAGGACCTAAGTACCAGTCAATATAAGTCCCCGCTTGCTTGAATCTAGGAAGTGTGGGGTTCATGGGACAAAGCAGGGCCACTGAGACAAAGCCAGACATTTATACAATCCAGCAATTTTGATTATGCAGTGCTGGGAAATAAAAACTGCCTACTTCTGGGTTGGGGGAGGTGGTAATTTACATTGTCTGGTATTGTACACTGAATAGTTATGGGGTGCCATGGCTGCCAGTTCTGTTGTGTTTAAAACGACTGCTAATTCTAAACTGCAGTGATTCAAAACATTGTCCAAACATGTTCTGGAGATTATGAGTAATATTTTAACTTTGGCACACACTCATATTTTGGAACAATCTCCAAGGACGCTGACTATAAATGTATTAAGATCTGTAAATATAAAATATAAATCTTACCTGCGATTTGCCTGCCTGCGAAAAGGTTAATCCACTTGGAACGTTTTCCGTGGTTGTGGACCTACGTTCCACATCGAATGCATCCTGCCCAACATCAGCGATTGCCCAGTTTGTGAAGCAACAACGTTGGCAAATGTTGAAGCTCTTGGAAGGTCTTCGAAAGACAGCAAATATTAACGCTGATTGCCCCGGCGACTTGCTTTGAAGAGGAAGAAAGCGACCACGAACCAGAAGACGAACAGAACGAAACCCTCGTGAACAGTTTATTAGCAAAAATATTAAGCCCTTCGCGAAGGTCTGTCAGACAATCGCCATTTTGCCAACCGGATATGTACTTTTAATGTACAGACTGAGTAATGAGTCATGTGATATTGTACCTGTCAGTCCTGGATCGTTGTGACGAATTTCCGATGCGAAATGAGATCGATGAGATCAGATAGGTAATATTTAAAAACATGTCAGCTGTGGTGTGGGGAAAATAAGTTTAAACTGCCAAATCTACCAATTTTTTATGTGTGTGTAAAGATAGTGCAAAGTGAGAGTCTGCTATTTTACGCGCGTCGAAACACTGTTATTCAAACATAAATATTTCGCGTTCTTGATCGAATTTTAAAAATCCCCCCGAGGAAATTAAAGAAGAAAGCATGCTTTATCAGAATTTGTCATTCTCGGCGAAAAAAGTTTAATATCGAATGTCACCGAGGGCGTAGAACAAGGTGTTATTTTCTCACTCCTTTTGTTTACATGTTTCGAATTTCAGGCATTCTGATTGGTCAAGAACTCAAAATGTAAACAAACGCGCTGATTGGCTAACATTATTTGCCCTTGTTAGTGCGCTTATGAAAGGCATCCACCCCCCTGAGAATGTTCTAAGTGGCGGATGTTCAGGGGGGTGAATGTGGCAGCGATTACGGCAGCGATTACGCTTTTTTGGCTGAGTCGACCTTCTGTATGTCTCTATTCTGTGACCACGGTGTGGTGGATTATGTACTCTCCCCATCAATATGCAATCATCCAGTAGCGCCATCTCGCTGAATCGCTTTGAAGAAAAATTTCACAAAGGTTTGTGTACAGTGTAATCTCAACATGAAACCGTAGCTGCTGAGGCACCGTCTTTCGATTGAGACTACGTTTTACTGTATGTACATCTATGTTCATCTCAATTTCTTTATTTGTAGGTAAGAGATATCATGAAAGGAACATTATCTTTCCAAAGTTCAACAATTGAACAAGACACAGAATTTAGTCATATTGATACAGTTCTTTCTTCACTGGCACCCAACACTTCAAGCTCAACAGAAAATGAACTACCGGGCTCATTGCCTGTTCCACTACTTGCCGACTTTGGGCATTTTGAAAAACAAGATCCTGAGTATATATTAGTAGAATCGAACGATGAAAATCCAGACGACACCAAAACGAATTCCAATGATAACATACCTAGGACTTCGGAGACGTCTGCAAGGGACAATGATAACGCAGGCGAGAGTGTGGAAGGCAGGAGTGTGGAACGCGGGAGTGTGGAAGACGTCAATGAAACAGCGAAGGAAGAAATAGATGGACAACAGCATGCAGAAAATGTTGTCGATAGTGGCACAACATGACGCTCTTAATATTGGTATTTCGATATAATAATTAAAAATAACAAAGTGTCTGGTAATGCAGTGTCTTGAAGCTCAGGTTGCAATCACGAGATTAATTGTTCGATTAATTTGGATCAAGTACGCCTATTGACTACTGTGAGTTAAGCTTGATTAATTTGGATCAAGTACGCTTATTGACTATTGTGAGTTAAGCTTGATTAATTTGGATCAAGTACGCCTATTGACTACTGTGAGTTAATCTTGATTAATTTGGATCAAGTACGCCTACTGACTACTGTGAGTTAAGTGGATTAATTTGGATCAAGTACGCCTATTGACTACTGTGAGTTAAGCTTGATTAATTTGGATCAAGTACGCCTACTGACTACTGTGAGTTAAGTGGATTAATTTGGATCAAGTACGCCTATTGACTACTGTGAGTTAATCAAGACACTGTACTACCATCATATACGTAATAATTCTATGATGTACATGTACGAAATCGAACAAATTTTCTAACAGTCACTGGCGGCTAAACCAACTCTCGCTGGGTCCGGAGTCATGTAGCCTACGATGTGGAGGTGCTGGGGTCTACACCATAGGCTAGGAGTCATGCTCCCTGGGAAAAGTTAGAAATCTACAGTTTCTGAAATGGCAGTTGGGGGGGGGGAGTTCACTTTACAATTCAAGCCAGGGAGGCTATAGTATCGCGTAGCCCCCGCCCCCTGTTCCGCCGCTACTGACTATACAGTTCATAAATTCAGGCTATTTTAATAATTCAAATAATTAAAGTTGTACTTGGGAAATTATTGTAAATGGGTATTAGGGGCATTTGAAAATTGAATCTGTACATTTCATTTGTATGTAACTATTTTTGAAAGTATCAAAGAAGAAGAAAACTCTTACTAACTTTGCAGTGAAAATGTTCACAATGTGGGATCATGGGAAAATGTTTGATTTTGGGATCCTGAGGAACATTTTCAAATATTAACCCATACGTTATGAGAGAAGCGTGAACGGAGACACTCCTAAAGTTAAGGTTACAGGGCACCCTTTTGCCAGTTTTGCGGAAAACCGCTACTGCGCGCTCAATATCAGTCCGATTTTAATCAAATTCTCACCAAATGATATTTGTGGTGTTACTCTGAGTGCATATCCACACCGGGCGAGCTTGAAAAATATGTCCGGCCACGGTGGGATTCGAACCTACGACCTTTGGAATACCAGCCCAATGCTCTTCCAACTGAGCTACGCGGTCAGGACGGTTCGAGTAAGTGATATTTCGGAACAGAATCTAGTTCCTTCAATACCAATGTATTCTAGTAATATGAATTTTTTGTGTTGGTGTAGTGTACTCAGGTGAATATGATATTTGTGGTGTTACTCTGAGTGCATATCCACACCGGGCGAGCTTGAAAAATATGCCCGGCCACGGTGGGATTCCAAAGGTCGTAGGTTCGAATCCCACCGTGGCCGGACATATTTTTCAAGCTCGCCCGGTGTGGATATGCACTCAGAGTAACACCACAAATATCATATTCACCTGAGTACACTACACCAACACAGAAAAAATTCTCACCAAATGTTCGCCAGTCTATGCAAAATATGGTAAAGTTGTAAAATTAACAAACAATAAAATAATGTAAGAATTATTGAGGAAAATCTTAAATCGCTGTACCGTTACGCTTTTGAGTTGTGCTCCTGCTGGTTTTAAGTTATATTTATGAAAATATTATTTTTATACAGTAAAATAGTTGTTCTAAAAAATTGTGGTCGGAAATTTTTGTTTATTTCGTCATTCCGCTGATATTGTTTGAGTGAATTGCTCATTATTAAAATATCCAAAATTAAAAAAAAAGCCGAACACAATTTTGAAACTGACGTCTTTAGCTATGTCCTGTGAAAATTTGAGAAAAAATGGTTAAAACCCGCAGGAGCACAACTCGTTTGAAAATCAGTAATTACCGTAAAATTTTTCGGGAGAAAATTGAATTTGAATATTACATTTCAATGTTTTTCTTATTGCAGCGAAATGTATTTTATTAAATAACTCTGCGAGTTTTCAACATTTTTCGTTCAAACTTGGTCAGATAGTAGAACTAGTCTAATGCTTTCATGGAAACCAATAAAAAAAATTTAGGCAAAATTAACACTCAAAGGTGTTCTGTAACCTTAACCAGCTCAATCCGAACGCCAGAACCTTCAAACCAAAGAGAGCTGCAGCTGTGGAAGCATTGAAGAAGATGAGGAGAATGACGGAGATGGACGAAGATAAGTACCCTGGTTCCAGAGGTTTAAAATAAACCTCTGGTTGAAAGCGGCAATTGATTCATCGAGCCGCGCCAATCAGTTTAAATTAGGGTCAGATCCTGACTCTGTCTCCTGATTGGATGATTGTATTGAAGTTCTCTGATTGGTTATGGATGTTTTATTTGAATCAATCAGAGAGCTTTAATACAATCATCCAATCAGGAGACAGAGTCGGGATCTGACCCTAATTCAAAATGATTGGCGCGGCTCGATGAATCAATTGCCACTTTCAACCAGAGGTTTATTTTTCCTCTCCCCTTCGCAATGAAAATAATAAAAATAAACCTCTGGAACCAGGGTAGAAGATAAGTGACATTATATCAAAACAACAGTATAGAACATTTTGTTAAAACGTTGGATAGCAGTCTCCTTATTGTATATGCAACGTGATTTCAAACACTCAATAATAATTCATAAGCTTATTGGCAAATCATGTCAACTATAATATGTCACGTGCAGTGGCTTTAAACCTGATAAAACACTCCTAATTAGTATTCTTTACATAAAGAATACTAATAAGGCAGTATCTATTGTTGTCGTGTCCTCATTAGTATTTTTTATATAAAGAATACTTAATAAGGCGGTATATCTATTGAATTTGTATAGTCGTGTTTGAAGCCGTTTAATAAACTCGCAGGTCGTGTTTTATTAGGTCTAAAGCCACTCGCGCTGCGCGCTCGTGTCGTTAAACCTAATAAAACACTCCTGGTCGTTTATTAAACTGTACACATTGTCCCCGAGCTAAGCGGAAAAGCCGAATATGAAGGCTTATAACACAGTACTAAAATGCGGTAGGCAGGGACGCCGGAACGATCATAAGGCAAAGGGGGGCGGACCCACAGCAAGGGCACTTCTCTAAAGCAAAACTTCGAAATCTTCCGAAATTTTTTTTTTATCAAAAAATTTCGGCGACCTCCCCCCCCCACCCCCCGTCGCCAAAAAAATTTCGATCAGTGTACCATTTTAGGGGTCAAAAAATTTTTCCGGACATACCATAAGTGAAATATAAACTGTAAATTGTCTGAATCTCATAATTTTCGTACAAAAACCATCGTTCTAAATGTGATTTATCACGTATTTTTTTACAACTAAAAGGGCACTTCTGCCCCCCCTGCCCCCCCTACCAAAAGGCAAGGGGGGCAGCCGCCCCCCCCCTGCCCCCCCCAGTTCCGGCGTCCCTGGCGGTAGGCACAATAGTCCATGGGATTCGCAACAAATAAGTCGTTTTGAGTCTCACAAAAAGGGACCAAAAATCGTTGCAATTTTAATAACATTTATTGTATGGAGAATTCGAAAAAAGCAGGTAACAAGTTCGGATACCCGGCTATCATGTCGTATCATGACATTTTAAATGCAATGTATTGGTAAGTGACAAGATTAATACATTGTAAGGTTTGAAAACGGAACTAGTTAAATATTTATTATCCTTTATTTTTCCAAGCCCGTGTCTCATTGCTTTGACATGAACCTTTTAAAAATATCTCTCGGGAAACTATGTATCGAAATACCAATGGTTAACCGTAACGTCTTTGGGGTGATTTCACCTTGTTAAAATTGTGTAAAGTACTTGTCTGCTTTCACTAACGTTCAAAACGATGTTTAAAAATGAATTGAATATAACCACACTTATTTGCTTTTTACTTTTTTACTCTATTTTACAAAATATGGCAAAAACTAGTCTTTTTATAGGCTATTTTTATACTCCTACAAACACGGGAGCCTAGGTCTTAATAGCTACCAGGCCCCGATAACACGGTTTTCAAAATGGCTGCCAAAACAGGTAGGTTAATTTACATATTTTAATGTTTCTTTCGCAATTAATATAACTCGTGTAGGGACAAAATATAACCTGGTCAGCGGCTTTGTCAGACAGAACTAATTTATGATAAACTTAAATAGTAACAAAGAAGTAAAAAGTAAACAAAGTGTGTTGATAAAATAAAGATATTTTATACTATATAAGGTGTGAATTCCACATTGGTGACCCCGTATTTACTTCATCATTATGACGATTCTGTTAATATTATGTTAATGTATGCGAAAAAACTAGAACTGCACGTGACGTCATATCTAGGTCACGCCATCTTTTATATATTGCTTTTAACACATGGTTTTACTGTTAACGTTGTTGTTACAAAATGTAAATTATAAATTCAAATATCCGTTGTCCGAATGAATGATATTCAATAATACTAACAGACTCCTTCTTCATCAGACAACTCGAACAAAACTCCGCCACCTACGGCCGCTACGAACGTCGTAGCTACGAACGCGGTGGCAGTTAAAATTCCGCCATTTTGGCCTTCCGACCCAGAGCTCTGGTTTGCACAAGTCGAAGCGCAATTTTCGGTGAAGAATATGACATCACAAGGTACCAAATTCGCTCATGTCGTCGCGGCTTTATCGCCCGAAGCTGCCACTGAGGTTCGCGACCTGATCCTTACGCCTCCTTCTACGAATCCGTTCGACGTACTTAAAGCTACACTCACCGAGCGAGTGTCCCTTTCCAAGCGTCAAAAGATCCAACAACTCTTACAGGCTGAAGAGTTAGGGGACCCAAAATCATCGCAACTGCTCCGACGCTTACAACAATTACATGGTACATCCGGCAAAAAGCTTCTTCGTGAGCTTTTCCTACAGCGCCTGCCTTCGAATGTCCAGATTGATTTGTTATCATATCCAGACAAACCGTTGGCTGACTTATAGCATTGATGGCTGATGGAAAGATAGAGCTAACTGATGCTCGCCCATCCATTGCCCAGATTGAAACACCCGAGTCAGCAGAAATCTCATCAATCAGATCTGATCTCAATAAAGTTCTCACGCTTCTTGACACTGGAGCACGGAAACTTGCTGCTGATCCCAAGTTGGTCAAGGAAGGTCTCTGTTGGTATCACACCCGATTTGGTACACAGGCTTCGAAATGTCGTCAACCCTGTACCTATACCGCGCCGGGAAACGGTCAAACGACAAGCCCGATCACCAGTAGAGGCGCACGTGACTGGGGGTTCCTCAAGCCACCTGTTGTATGTGACGGACAAACATTCAAAAACTCGGTTTCTAATTGATACAGGTGCCGAGGTCAGTGTTTTCCCAGCTACGCAACATGACAAGCGGTATTGCAGAAGGAGGGTTTCTCTGACCGCGGCTAACAATTCGACAATTCATACCTATAGCAAGCGTGAACTTTGCCTGGACCATGGTCTTCACCAATTTTAGGTGCTTCCTGCGGTATATTCGGGTGTTGGTTGATGTTGCCAACTCTTGTCTCGTAGATGCAGCAACATCAATGACTGTCCCTGCACAGACCTCACCATTCCGTTCCCTTTCTCTCAATCGCATATCGCTAGCTAAACCCACCAATGGGTTCGATACCATTTTTGCTGAGTTTCCAGCAGTCTGTAAACTCCGCATCATCGATCCAGCTGTTAAGCACAATGTTCAGCACCATATTATCGCGGCTGGACCGCCCACTTTTGCGAAAGCTGGACGCCTTTCTCCTGAAAAATTCGCAGCTGCAAAAACCGAGTTTGACCAGATGTTGTCTTCTCACACGGTGTGCATATCATCAAATAACTGGGCATCCCCACTTCATATGGTCCCAAAGTCGAACGGTGACTGGCGCCCCTGTGGTGACTATCGATCGAGCTCTCAATGCAGGGACTAAACCAGACCGTTACCCTGTGCCTCAAGTTCAGGATTTTTCTGCTCGCCTTCCTGGTTGTAAAATCTTCTCCAAGATTGACCTGGTTTGTGCATACCATCAAATTCCTGTCGCTCCTGAGGATGTCTCTAAAACAGCAGTCATTACACAATTCGGCCTTCTTGAGTTCAAACGTATGCCATATGGACTGCGCAATGCGGCCCAGACATTCCAACGATTCATGGATGAGGTCTGCCGTGACCTAGAATTTGTGTTTGTATTCTTTGACGACATCCTGGTTTTCAGCACCACGCCTGATCAACATCGCCACCATTTGCGCCAGCTTTTTCAGCGACTGGAACATTACGGCTTAGTCATTAATCCTAAGAAGTGTGAGCTTGGCCGTACACAGTTATCATTCTTAGGTCATCATGTCAGTGCCCAAGGGATTTCCCCTCTTTCATCCCGCATCCAAGCTGTTACAGAATTTCCTCAACCTGTTGACAAGAAGAAGTTTCACAGGCTACATCCTTTGCACAAACTATTATCCTCTACCAATTTTATTTGGTTGATCTCCAGAATGCGAGCAGACATTCCAGTTCTGTAAATCCGCCCTATAATGCACCAACCAGTATAACATCTGATGCCTCAGATCTAGCTGTGGGAGCCGTCTTTGAACAATTTATCGATCATGAGTGGCGCTCCATCGGCTTCTTTTCTCGTAAGCTACAGCGGAAAAAAACACGTTACAGTACGTTTGATCGAGAGCTGCTTGGCGTTTACTTAGCCATTCGTCATTTTCGGTGGTTTATCGAAGATCGTGTGTTCCACGTGTACACTGATCACAAACCCTTGACTTTTGCAATCTCAAGTGGGTCAACACAACGCTCACCACGGCAAAGCCGGCAGTTGGCTTTTATTTCTGAGTTTACCACCGACCTGCGACACGTCAAGGGTAAGAATAACGCAGGGACAGACGCGTTTTCCAGAATCCAAATCAATGCCACCTCTACCGAAATTGACTTTCGGGCAATGGCTCAAGCACAAGCTGATGATCATGAAACCCAGTGCCTGAAAGCTGGGGTAACAAATTTAAAGTTAGTGGATGTTCTCCTTGATGGCGATGACAACCTTACACTTCGCTGCGACTCATCTCAGGGTAATATTCTACCAGTAGTCCTAGAGTCTTTTCGTCGCGAGATATTCAACCTGATACATAATTTTCCCATCCAGGCGCTAGATCCACCTGTAAGCTCGCAATCTAAAATTCATCGTCATACTACAGCGCCGCTCCAGAAGTTCGATATCCCAGACCATCGTTTCGCTGAGATTTACGTTGACATTGTCGGCCCACTTCCGCTGTCTTGAGGGTTTAGCTATCTGTTCACATCCATTTATCGCTACTCTCGGTGGACTGAGGCTATTCCGATGGTCGACCTGACAACGGAAAGTTGTACACGTGCTCTGTTACATGGTTGGAAATCACGGTTTGGCCTGCCCAGGAGCATAATGTCGGATCGTGGCCGGCAATTTGAATCCAACCTCTCGTCATCTCTCATTTTTCTTCTCGGGATGCAATGCACCAGCAACGTCCTGTTCCACCACAAAACCACGGTTTGCGTCCATCTTATATACCGCATGCATTACAACAATCTACACATGTTTACGTTAGGCACGATGCAGTCAAAAGTCTGTTGCAACGACCCTACGACGGCCCATTCCTAGTCATCCAACGCAATGACAAGTTCTTTACGCTCAACAAGAATGGGTGCTGTGATACAGTCTCTATCAGCAGGCTCAAGCCAGCATTCCTTGAGAAAATGGACGACCCATCGCCCAAGCCAACCACACATCCCATGACACCTGATCCTCCCAATGCAATTGAACCACTCTTGCCAACGGTACTGCCAACACCATCGTTAACGACACGTTCTGGCCGTACGGTACAGTACACTTACCAAGACGTTACCGCACTGGGGGGCGGGGGCTTGTAAGGGAAAAATTATAACCTGGTCAGCGGCTTGGTCAGACAGAACTAATTGATGATAAACTTCATGTTAGAACGTTATTAGGTCTCTCGATCGAACGAAATATATTTGTAGATAGTAAACAAAGTGTGTTGAAAAAAAAAATTTTATACTATATACAGTGTGAATTCTACACTCGATTTTCCGCTTATTGTGTTTTAGTTACCTTAATTAAAAAAATTCAATCGTAAATACACAAAAAACACGCTATCTGATTGATCTAAATTTAATAAAACTTGGGCTGAGTGAAGAAAAATTCGAGTAGCCATTGAATTATTGATATTTTAGAGGGTTTTGTGCCAAAACTATGTTTTCACCATTCATGGAGTGTAAAATATATCTGCTATTATAATCGCGAGTCGTTCTAGTGCTTTTATAATCGCGAGTCGTTCTAGTGCTTTTTATGATCATTCAAAGATCGAGATATGAGCATTTCTTGGCTCACTTGTCTTAGCTAATAAGCGAAATCACACATTTGGTTATTTTTATCAAAAAGCCGGGTATTTGGACTTGTTACCTGCCAGTTTCGCGTAACATAGGCCTTGATAGGACGATTTAATTTGGTTTTGTTTGGTCCCTCTTTGTGAGACTCACTTGTTGTGAATCCCATGGTCTATTAGTTTTGTGAAGAAAATGTTTGTAATATAAGTATTTAGTTCAGTAAAGTCCACTCACTAGCGTGGTGTACGAACAACCGTAAATCAGTTAGTTAGCATTTATATCATGATCAATGTCTATTGTTTGTTCTGACACCGAGAAAGTGCCCATGAAGTATGTATAGACAGAATAGTCATATGGGGTGAGGTATTAATTGGGATGTAAGTGCTGTTCCACATTCCAGTCACGTGTGTTGTCTTGTAGCGCGTTATATCATGTATGGAAGATCACCTAAAGTTGGACTTGCATAAACATGATATTCTTGGATTACTCAAAATAATTTTCGAACCATAATAAGGAACTCAAAAGGTAACTGATTTCTTAACTAGCAATACATGCATGCAGCAACCCCCTCGCATGTATTTTCCAAACATTGATTTAACATGAAGCATTAGTAATTGATCAAAACTGAATGCAGGCTCACGATTACGTCAGTGATGCCATGGCAACATGATCCTACGAACCTACGACCTTTGGAATACTAGCCCAATGCTCTGCCAACTGAGCTACGTGGTCAGGTTGGTTCGAGTAAGTGATATTCAACCTCGCCCGGTGTGGATGTACACTCAGAGTAACATCATAAACATTATATTCACCTGAATACACAACACCAACACAGAAAAAATCATATTACTAGATTACATTGGTATCGAAGGAACTAGATTCTGTTCCAAAATATCACTTACTCGAAACCGACCAGACCACATAGCTCAGTTGGCAGAGCATTGGGCTGGCATTCCAAAGGTTGTAGGTTCGATTCCCACCGTGGCCAGGCATATTTTTCAAGCTCACCCAGTGTGGATATACACTCAGTAACATCACAAACATTATATTCACCTGAGTACACAACACCAACACAGAAAAAATCATATTACTAGATTACATTGGTATCGAAGGAAGTACATTCTGTTCCAAAATATCACTTACTCGAACCGACCTGACCGCGTAGCTCAACTGGCAGAGCATTGGGCTAGCATTCCAAAGGTTGTAGGTTCGATTCCCACAGAGGCCGAGCATATTTTTCAAGCTCGCCCGGTGTGGATATACACTCAGAGTAAAATCATAAACATTAAGTTCAAATTATTGACTAATTTCAGTTCGGTTTTCAAATTAATTAATTACATTTTTACCTTTTTTTCTTAAATTAAATTAAACAGGGTAATTTAGCAAACTTTAATACAGCTTCATTGAAAAGGAAAGCAGTGCATGTTTTATGCAATAAGTGAAAGCAACACAATTCATAAACATTAAACATTCAAAGCACACTTGCCCTATTTTCCATGATTTTCCACAGTAAATCAATTCTTCTCATTTCTTCAAACAAAAATTGCTTCAAAGCTCATTGTGTGAAACGTGATATTCCAAATATATCCTTTTGAGAATTGAAATCTTGTTTATCCCACTCCTGGCAAACAGCCATATTTTTGAGATCAGTGAGAATGAACACCCATGGTTGGTGACCCACGCCCGCATTCATTGATGAACTTTTGACTTTGCTAAAACAGGGTGGACTTTCGTCGATGCTGCATAAAAATAGTGCAGGCTCATCAGCTTTTTCCCGTAAATTTTTCTTGTCAATGTTTGGGTTACAATTTCTAAGGATGTTGAAGTTTACAGCATTGTGATTCACTGGTTTTTGAAAGCATCTGGGTTTTTTTGTTGGAAGTTATAGACTAACTCTTCAACAACCTAATGATATGTTCTTTGTATGTTTGCATGGTGATAAAACATATAACAGTTTTGTTTGTGGAAACACCACATAAATTTATTACTGCAAACAAAGCTTTCGATCCGTAAGCCTGGATCTTCTTCATCAGTTCTAATAATATGTGACTTGTTTAATTCACTCGCCCTTTAATTTTAATTAAAAATATAATGTATTAATGTGCTTCTTGATTTCAATGGACTCTCAATAATTGACCTTTTTAATTCTATGAACAAACAAACGGCGCTCCAATGGGAAGTCCATTGTCGCCTGTTATGGCTAATTTGTTCATGGAGGAATGGCTAACTTAGCTACTGCAACGTTGAAACCTGGTTTCTGGTTCAGATACGTGGATGATACATTGAGTAGCTGGTCTCATGGACCAGATAATTTACAAAAGTTTCTAGACCACATTAATAGTTTACATCCATCGATCAAGTTTACTTTTGAAGTACAGAAGGATAATAAAACTATACCATTCTTAGATGTTCTGTTCACTATACATGATGATGGGTTGCTAGGACACAAGGTTTATAGGAAACCAACACACACAGACAGGTATCTGCATTATAATTTATTTCATCATCCTAGTATTAAAAACTCTGTGTGTAAGACACCCATCAACCGAGCGAAAACAATTTGTGAGGTAAATGAATTAGAACACTTAAGAAATGTTCTAAAAATGAATAGTTACCCATGGCATTTCATAGATAAGGCTATGAAAACACCACAAAGTATACAGCAGAAGATTGAATATCAGTCATCTGTTTGTCTACCACACATTGGTCCGGCCTCACACAAAATCAAACGAATTTTGAGGAATGAAGCAGGTATAAAGGTATACCATTCCAGCGAAAACAAATTGTTTCGAGCTCTTTGCACATATAAAGACAACTTAAATGAATCTCAGAAACCTGGTGTGTACCGCATTCCTTGTGAGTATAACCTGAAATTCAGGCCCTAATTTAGAATAGGGCCTGACACAAAACCTATCTAAACCATGGGATTCCCGTCCATCTGGTGGACACGAAATCTGATTGGTTGATCAGCATCATGAAAGATTTTGATTGGTTGCAAGTTCACATAAACAATATTTTTGTATGAATAGCTCGGTCAATGTGACAAGGTCAAATGCATGTATCAAATTCCATTGTGATTATCGTAATAGTATTGTCGAATTCCTTCAAATTTCTTTTGTTTAATATGCTTTATGGCAGAAAATAAATCAAACACACAGTACTTTGAAAGGGCTTTATCAAAATCTTTGACGAAGTTTAGACACACAACGCTGAAAGAACAGTAACACTAGTTGTGTATTCGAAAGCTTGTTGTTGACAGCCAAGGCCCAAGATGCCTTTGCCGTTCTGCCAACTGGCTTCGGTGAAAGGCTTATTTATCAGGTCCTACCAGCATTGTTTTCTGAGCTATATTGCCTTTGTCATGGTACGATAAAGAATTTCATTATTGCTGTTGTTATCCTGTTAGAAATTGTATATCTGCGTCCAGCTAGTTGAGACCTTGAGATGATGAAACAAATGACTTAGCATATTTTCTTGACGCACTTTGATTCCAATTGCGGAAAGTAAGTCGCAGAGAACAAAACTATTTGCATTCAGTCCTTGCACAGAACTGACTAAATCTTTGTTTGCTGTTCAGTATAGAGAAACTGAACTCTTAAAGTACCTTGAATTTTTAAGTTTAAAAAGCAAAATGCACACTCTGCAGACATGTTCATGAGAATATAAAAACAACTAATCCAACATGAAATGAATATCTTTATATTTTTCGTATTTATTTTCGTGCAATGAAATCTACAACACTTGTCAATCATATGTATGACTGTGTCTAAAAATAACATGTGGGCATCCCATGCAGGGGCGGAGCGAAGACTATCGTTTTCGGGGGGTGCGAGATAACTTTTTGCCGACAAAAGGGCGTGGCTAGCACGTTGTTAGGGCGTGGTCGAAACGAACCGTATT